TCTCTCTCTCTCTCTCTCTCTCTCTCTCTCTCTCGTTCCCTAAGGCATTATTTTTCAGTATCTGGATTTTAAATCTCAGAGAGACTCAGCTGTTGCTTTCCAATCTGCCATTTTTCTGGAAGTCTTCACTGTATTTTTGGCTTCTTTTGGGACCTGCAGTCATAGAATCAATCCAGCAAGTCACTATTTTCTCTACTTAATTTATGGCCTGTGGGTGTGTAATGTGCCCGACCCTGCTCCCAAGGCCCCTCTGTCTGTACACCAAAGGCTGTGGCAGCTGCTCACACTGGTAGCTGGGGAAAGCAATCAGACCGCCGGTCTCTGTGGTGGATGCGGTGGGATGGCAGATCAAACAGACTGCTGGACTAAATGCCAGCACTTTCGGATCCAGCCACCCCTGAAAGCCACACAGACCAGGCCTGGCTTTTCACTACAGAGGGCAGAGCCCTGTGTGCTTCCTGCCCCAAACCTAAACTTCTCAGAGTGCTTCTGTCTAGGCTGCACTCACCGTGATTGTCCCTTCTGGCTGTCTCTCACCCAGCCATTGTGGTAGGTAACACTGGAAATCCTGAAGTTGTCCTGCAGTTCTCTCCTGGCTCAGTCTTAAACAATCAACACCTTCCCCAAGTGGCTCCTGATTTCTGGAAGTGGTGATGCGCGCCTGTAATCCCAGCATTCAGGAGGCTGAGGCAGGAGGCTCCCTTGTGAGTTCGAGCCCAGCCTGGGCTACATAGTGAGTTCCAGATCAGACTCAACTACCTAGTTTGTGAGACCTTGTCTCAAAACAAACAAACAAAAAAAGGTTCGTGATTAAACCCTCTCAAACATGACAGGTGCAGCCCTGGATTTCTTCTCTAAGTCTAGCCCGCTCAGTGAAAGGCATCACTCTGAGTAAAAACTCACACTGTTTTTGTAGTTTGGAATAGCCCCAGGCTTTTCTTGGGGCCAGCATTGCTGGCCTGGTCCACTGTTTCTCCCTGGAGCTGCTGACCCTTGGAGCTTACTTTTCTCTCCCCAACCACTGGCCTGCATGGTCAGGTCAGGCAGTTGACCAGCACTGCTGCTGCCCCATGCTGAGGAGAAACAAGACGCAGAGTGGGCTCAGGACTGAGTGGCAGACGTGGCCAGGACACAGAATCTACGGGCGTCAAGTTGGCAGGGACAAATGTGGCTCTGATGTTTCAGAATCTATGGGTCCCCAGGCCACCTCCTCTTCAGCTGAGCTTCCCTGCAGGCATGGGCGACTCAATCCCTTTAAGTTGCTAAATTGCCCAGGCTGGGCCCAAACTTGAACTCCTCCTGCCTCAGTCTCCCAGAGTGTTAGGGTTACACGTATGTGCCACCAAAAGTCATTCTTTTATAACCTTTCTAAAAAATCGCCCTTAACATCTTAATGTCTCAATGTTGCTCGATTTAAATAACATGTCTACACATAGCTTTCATTTGGCTTGGACTTTATTGCGACTTTTATGTTTATAGAATTACAGCTTTCTGGAATTTTTTGGCCATTAGTTTGGAATGTCCCAGATGTGTTACATTCTAATAATTTAAAAGGAAACAAATAATGAAAGCCCGCTGGAGAGGCTGGCTTCCGCTGGAAATGTCTCCTTGCCACAGAGGCCTCCTGAAGCTGTGTGCTGTGCGTTGTCACAGCGCCATCTACAGCCCACGTCTGAGGCCAGCCAGACACCATGGGACAAGAGCCTTCCTCACATTCCTAGCCAGAAGCCAAGGATAAAGTGGTATGGGCTCACAGTGGTATGGGCGGGGAAAGGGATCTATCGGCAGACAAAGGATGTAGGAAAGACAGAGTTTGTTCAATCCCTGAGCACCCTATGGAGACGGACAATGAGCGAGTATCCAAGAGAGGAACCCACAGCCATGGTGAGATTAGGATTTTTTTTTTAAAGGAA